AAGGAATATGTGTCGCTAAAATGCTGTTTATACGGCATGTTTCGAACAGTAATACAATTTCTTTGACAACTTTCTTTTCTGTTTGTAGCACGGGTATCAAGCTAGTATTTAAAAAGTTACTCTTCTCTTTATTAATTTCAATAAAGTCTTTTGTTTATTTACTTATTTATTTATTTTATTTTTTATTTTTATTTATTTATTTTTATTTTTTTTTTTTTATTTTTTTTTTTTGCATTTCTACAAATAAATTTGTTATTGTTTTCCTTTCAGCTAAGAGAAAAAAAATACCTGATGAATTTTCAGTCAAAATAAATAAATCCTGACCTCAGTTTTCGAACTGGTTAACTCTTGTTTTTAGAGGATCTGTGTAAGCAGCGCCTCCTGCCGAGCACACCAGGAATCTATGATGTACGATGCACATAGATGCCTCCAGTCCCGATGCTATTTCAATTAGATACTATACATCCTGATAACATTTGTGATTCGGATTTAACTTTCTTAACTGCTCTCAAGCGGGCAATCGTCGGTCACACACGAACTGAAGTTGAGCGCGGTCAGAGACTCATGACCCTCAGACGACACCATCATTACACTTTCACATGCTCATATGAGACTGATAAAGACACACAAGCAGATTATCTTACACACACACACACACACACACACATATATATATATATATATATATATATATATATATACACGCATACACAAGGCATATAAGGTTTTCTTTCTATTGCTGTCTCTCTTTGTGTACACGCACATACACAAAGTTATGAATATACAGGAATCCCTCGATTAATACAGCTAATGTGTATATTTTAATGTACACATCGATACGCACTAATCGAAAACGCATTAATCGTAGATATAAACAAAATTAAAAAAAAAAATTGTTACCCATTTTACATTTTAAAACGTTAGAAAATTTTTAATTAATCGGTAACTATAAAAAAAATAATTTTCAGTGATTATGGTAAAACTGAAAAATGTTTTACTGCACTAATCGAGTATTACGCATGCACTAATCGAATTTTAGTATAATAATTTCAGTGCACTAATTCGAAAACACATCATCATTGAATGAGCCTTAATCCAGGGATCCCTCTATGTCTATGTACGTGTACACACACACACAAGCGCGCATATATATATATATATATATATATATATATATATATATATACCTAAGTATAGTAGGATTGGTGTATATGGAATAAATTCCAATAAGCAAAAACTACTATTCTTAAAAGAGTGCTCAGAAGAGCTAATATAATTATTTATTCGTGAATTATAAAATAAATATATTATAGAATCACTAAAAAATAGCCATTTTGTTTCAACACTTCTGGTGCCTTATCACGTGATGGTGTTGAATGTAGAATTTTCAACACCATCACGTGATAAGACACCAGAAGTGTTGAAACAAAATGGCTATTTTTTTTAGTGATTCTATAACATATTTATCATATAATTTTCGAATAAATAACTATATATATATATATATATATATATATATATATATATATATATATATATATATATATATATATATATATGGGTAGGTAAATCAAATAACTAGATATTAGCAGCAGTATATGCAGGCTTGCGTGCATACACAAGTAAGCAAATAAATATTTACCAAATTTACCTTAAGGTGTAACCATAACAGTGTTTGATGTGGTTAGACAGAGATAAGAAATATATATTAATAAATATATATATACATGCGTTTGTGGTACGACTAAAGTTTCGTTGGTTACCCAACTCTTGAGGTACAAAGTATGACATATGATTTTTTTTCTTTTAATCACATGTTTTATACAAGGATTATTCTTTATCAAGGATTATTTTATTTTTACATTTAACTGAACACAGGAATTGTATCATGTAAGTTTTAGTAATGTTGATAGTATCTAAAAATACACCCGAAAAGCGTTCGAACTTACAGAACATTCGGAAAATTTCTACATAATTTATGGCCAGAAAAAAAATTATTAGAACGCAAGAAAAATTAATTAAAAACATTAACTGCAGTACCTTGTCAGTCATTTTAATGAAACTTGTACACACACACAAACACACACAGATTTATTTATATATATATATATATATATATATATATATATATATATATATGTGTGTGTGTGTGTGTGTGTGTGTGTGTGTGTGTGTGTGTGTGTGTGTAATATAAATATTTATGTTATAAATTTTTTAAATAAATAATTATATATATATATATATATATATATATATATATATATATATATATATATATATATATATAGAGAGAGAGAGAGAGAGAGAGAGAGAGAGCATAAAAATCCAAAATTACCTCATGTGGGAACATATTTATTTCAACCAACGCTAAGTACGTTGTTCTTATTCAACCCCGACGAATGGACTGTGGTGGGGCAGAAATTCCCCTTTTATAAGTTTACATTGAAAACTGACATTAAACTTTTTATATTTTTCTTGCATTCGTACAAGAGATTTCTTTTTGTGACATAGACTGTGTTAGAGCTGTCCAAAGGATCTTTCTACCGAGCTCTTTCGGGAGTTGACAGAAGTAATTTCAACTCGGAACCTCAAAATGGTAATTTGCAGTTCGAGCCCCGCGCTTGATTTCTAATAGAAATTTCCCAAATAGTTTCCTTTAGGTGTAAATTTACATGCTTAATTCGAAAATAACAAAGAAATTTTGATAAAATCTACCGTTTTGGAGTTATCGACAATAAAAGTTCGAACTCATTCACGTCGCGATGGGTAAAGTTGTAATTAATTCTGCACCCCTTTTTGGCTAATCCATTATCATGAATGTTTTTTTTTTTCCAAAAAGTTTTTTTATAGTAATATTTTAATTGCTGAACATAGTTCTTATATTACACATACTCCATGCTTTGTACCTTGTCAGTCGCATTTACTTAAACCAATATATATATATATATATATATATATATATATATATATATATATATATAAGGGAGCATTGAAGTCAACACTCAGAGGCTACAGGCCGTTTCATGCTGGACGCAATCATCAGGCCGCCTGATGATTGCATCTAGTATGAAACAGCCTGTCGCCTCTGAGTGATGACTTCAGTGTTCACTTTGATATTTATATTTACATACGCCCTGTCTCTGATATTGAGCACTTTATCCCATACATATACCACACCTTAAAACTATATATATATATATATATATATATATATATATATATGGGCGTCCCGAATGGTGTAATGGTTAGCAAGCTTGTCTCGCTAGAATGATTACGACTGAGTCCTCACTGGGTGCCGCATACATTCTGCCTTGTGCCACATCTAAGCTACGCTTGGAAAATCACTATATATATATATATATATATATATATATATATATATTATTTGAGCATCAATCCCTCTTGTAACCAAATTTTATTAAAAACGACTGAAAAGCTACTGCAATTAAGTTTTTTATGAATCGTTTTTTGCTCACTCCTGACGTTGTAGTTTTGAATGTACGGCATGCTTTGAAAGGCATGTAGATATTTGCGTGAATTCGTGCATTTTATTTCCTTTGAGCTACATAATGGGTGCAACTTCCAAATTTCTAGATGAGTTGATCTCCCCTTTGACCTAGCTCAGTGGTGGTGGTGGTGGTGGTGGTGAGGAATGCCTGGCTGATCACATTCAGTGCCTCAAAAACCAAACTAGCGATGTTCGATTATCACCGAACGGACCTTGAATGTCTGTCGATCGCAATGAACGCGTGTTCTATCCTGATGGTCACATGCCTTGAACGCCTATCGGGATTTCATCTTAAACCAGACCTCATGAAACTCGTCGATCGCTAAAGGTACTGAAAAAAAAATGGTCGGTTTTCTGACCTGCTCCTGTAACAGCCTGGCTCCCCTAATATCCTCTACTTTTACAAGAGCCAGATTAGGTCAAAATGGAGTACTGTATATGAGCATGAGCTGTCCAGTTTTGACTTTTGAGTTTCGATAGTGTCCGAAACCCTCTACAATGCCTTCTAGGGGATGTTATTTGCAACCCTACAACACTTTTCCTACAGGCTACAATCTTCTCGCTATTTTCTCGCTATATCCAGGCGTTCAGGTGAACTACATTCTTTACTTCCACCAGTTTTAACCGTCAGGACTAAGTCCCGCGATGCAACACACATTTTTGGGAACCATCTTCGTATTCTCCTGGTGAACAGCTTCCCCACACTCGAACAATTTCTTCCCACAAACTGCTACTTTGTGGAACCTACTCCCAAGAAGATGCTTCCCCAATCTCTAGAATTTTAACATGTTCAAGTGCAGCGTTAACTGTTATCTTTCCCTCATACTCTTACTCTACCTTGAGCGGCTCTTGGACCATGTACAAGCTGAAAAATATTGTAAAAAGATATGCAGTTTTATTTATTAGATTTAAATGAAATTCTGTACAATTATTTAATAACAATAACACATCGAAACAGAAGGTCAACTCCCGTCGTGATTATAAGAGTAATTGTGAACTCTATGATCTTGCCGATGGCTTCATAGTATATGCGACACTAAGTCTACATATGGTTGTTTGGCGCGAAAGCGAATGTGACGAACTCGGCTGGAATTTGAACACGCTTCGCCGATTTTTCGTTCCGAGCCGCTAGCCACTTTATGGGATAAATCTGCGAAAATAGTGAGATTCATTTATTGCTAAATGCAAATGAAATTATTATTATTATTATTAAAATAGCGATAATTTACTTATTGCATTTAAATGATATTAACTTATGGAGTAAAACTCTAAAAAATAAAAGAACTTTCTTATTATTAAATGTAAATAAATTCATAAAAAATACAGTGGATTAAACTAATTGAAAATTTAACTGAAATTAATAGATAGATAGATAGATAGATAGATAGATATTATGAAAGAATGAAATATATAATTAAGTCTATATAATGGAAGATTGAGATAGATAGATAGATAGATAGATAGAATGAAAGAATGAAATATATAATGAAGTCTATATAATGGAAGATTGAAATAGATAGATAGATAGATAATGAAATATTAAAGTAGATAGATAGATAGATAGATAGATAGATAGATAGATAGATAGATAGGGGATGTAGATTTGGTAATAGCAGCCATAGATATTATGAGAGATAATATTCAATTTTAAACTAAAACATATTGGTATTATTAGAATAAGGCTTGGAAAGAAAATATTAATGATTAAATATCAGTTTATCTGAAGTGTTCATAGTCTTTAGACTAACAGATAGATAGATAGATAGATAGATAGATAGATAGATAATAGATAATGAAATATTGAAATAGGTAAATTAAGAGATAAGAGAGTTTTTATTACGGAAATATAAAAGGATTAAGATAGATAGATAGATAGATAGATAGATAGATAGATAGATAGATAGATAGATAGATAGATAGATAGATAGATAGATAGATAGAAACCCACTGAGATGAGTAAGCAAAATATCTTTTCAATTGCATTTATTTTATTTTCCATAAGATTTCCCCACTATACTTTTTTCCCCTCCGGAAATCTTTGAACGCCCTTACTGATTTCATTGCCGAGTTGTTCGCTTTACGCTTGAAGCTATGACATCTCTCAAATTATTCGTTTATCTGACAGGTATATCACTTTCAGTGTCCAAAATGGATTCCAATCTTTGTACACCGGACCTGGCAGAGGTTAGCGACTGCATAACATATTTCTTACTTTCTTTCTTTCCATCTTTCACATCCTCTCTCGATATATATTTCTATATATATTTCTCTCTCTCTTCCCCCCCTCTCTCTCTTTTCCCACTCTCTCTCTTTTCCCACTCTCTCGCACATCTCCTTCTGTAGTTGTCATTACTCTTTTGTCTTTTCCTCTGTTTCTCTCTCTATCACCCTATATATATATATATATATATATATATATATATATATATATATATATATATATGTAAGCAAATATATGGATATAGATCCGACAGTATGAAAAAATATATACGGAAAAAACAAACAAAAATCCTTATATGCAATTATGCTGTTTTAATTTTAATATGTCAACATCGGACGTTTCGGTCTAATAAACCATCTTCAGGACATATTCATAAAATATAATTAACATTTTCATTCAAAATACTCAAATTTACATAAGAACAAGACTTATCAAACAGATAACTGAAAGTTTTACGATCAACCCCGTTTAAAACATGGTCACGTTGTCGTCACGTGGGCGATCTTATAAAACGTATTCCTATTTGTTTGATAAGTAATTGTTCGACAAGTACATATAAATTTTAGTTCAAAATGATAATTCTTTTATATTTTCATGAATATGTCCTCAAATGGTTTATTACGTTTTCACGTCCGATGTTGATATACGACAAACATTAAAACAGCATAATTGCATATAAGGATTTTTTTGTTTGTTTTTTCCGTATATTTTTTC